CCCCGACGAGGACATGGCCGGAACCCTAGGCCGGCGGTGCGGGGGGCGGGGCGGGGCGGGGCGAGGGGGGGTTTTGGGGAGGCGTGGGAATCGTGGGGGCGCAGGGAAATATGGCGAGCGAGCGAGCGAGCGGAGGGGGAGGAGGGGCGAGGCGAGGCGAGGAGGAGGAGGCTTTTAAAGCGAGTCGCAGAAAAGTAGTAGTAGTACCCAGCGTCTGGATTGCTCTCGCTACGTGTACACGAAACGCCTCGGACTCACCTCCCACCCTCCCACCATGCTATACGCCACCATACAAACTTTCTCCATTTTTCATCCATGCCCTTGCATATATACATGTAATAATACGGAGTACTACAACTGTACTACGTACGTATTACCATTGGTAGCACACAAAACAAAACATTGAAACTACTGTGCGGACGACAGTTGCCAGACGAACACCATGGAGGATTGAACGGTGCTATCCACTTTTGCTCTAGCATGGACGGTTTGATGCGCTGCATCGTGCAAAAACCGTCCAGAATTTGTCGCATTCATAAAACATATATATCTCGGTGCTTACGTAAGGTTGCAACTTTCATCCAGGCTAAAGCTAACTGGTGTTAGGTGGAAGAAGAAAATAGTCTCACAGACAAAAACGACACAACCCTGCATTTTTTATCGATATATATGTCGTGGGATCTTGTTGATGAAGGAAGGTCAAACGGAGCAAAACGTGCTCCATGCATGCACGTTGGTTGGTTCGCTCGCTCCTGATCCCCGATCCAATCTTGGTCCAGCGTGAACGGCGGTAAAATAACACGACGAGAACGACCTCCCCTCTGGTGTCTCGTGATTATTAATATACTCGTACCAGTAGAGATTAGGGACGCCGGAGGTCCCTCGTCTATAGTCTATCTAATCAAACAAATAATGCCGGCCCCTTGCTCTTCTACCGCACTGCCTACGTACGTACGTACGTGCACGACGATACAGCCAGGCGTGAACGGAACTACGTACAATCCGCGGTTAACTAGCAGGTGCGTACGCGCCGGTACGTGCGCGTGGGCGGGAATCTATAGGCCGGGGCCGCGCACGGCGGCGGGCGAAGGAGGAGAAGGGACGTGAGGAAGGAAGGACGGGGGACGGAACAAAATCACCAACGCCGGTGCGCGGGGTCCGCTCGCCTTGTCCTCGTGCCCCGGCCCGGAGAGGTACGTGAACGAGTGGAGGAGTGCGATGCGGGGCGGGGCGGTGGCCCGACGGCACCCGGCGAGCGCATCTCGTCTTGCAAAACAAAGCCCATGCACGCACGCCACCGGAGCGGCAAGCCATCGGTTTCCCCCGTCACGTACGCACGGAAAAAGAATCGTTTCCTGCCACCACTAGGGCAGCCGGAGACACGTCGTGCGGGCGGGCTTCGTCGCGGCGCGCCGGTCGAGACAGCGGCACGCGGCCCCCACCGCGCGGACGGCCCGCCATGGTGCCTGGTGCGACCCACCTGGCAGCAGCTTACATGGAAAGAAACGGTCTTTTCATTTTTATACTTTTCACCTGGCCTGCGGCTGCGTGCGGCTCAACCTGCATGTGTGTACCAGATCAACGACGACGAGGACGGCACGCCTGTGCTTTTAGATTCGCGACGCTGTTCCGCGCATGCCCCATGCATCGATCCGGAGTCGAACGTACTACGTACTACTACCTGCTGTGCTGCCGCTGTACATTTGTATGTACTCTACGTGCGCGGTTGCGCCTCGCTTGTGTGCCGTCCTTGTCGCGCGAACAGAGTGGTTGGAATCTGCACCGAGTGGCGAATAGTGCGCGCACGTACGTACGTCCTGGAGATGTGTGGTCAACATGCACCCAAGAGAAACCCACACGCAATTGTTTTTAGGGAAGCTTTTTGCTTCGTCACCCGCAAAAAAAAAGTTTTTTGCTTCGTGGATTCTTTAGATTTTACGTTGTTTTATTAGAGGTTTCAATTTTTTTATCTTCATTTGGATTTGGTAACTTGGTGTTGCATGAATATGGTTTCCCATGGCGAATCTTCACGAAGGGGCGATCTACAAACATAATTGCCGGGGGCGTCAATGGTAGCCCGGCAGTTTCTTCGGTTACCACCTCTATTTTCAGTAGAGATGTAACGTCGATGTTTATCTAAAAGACCATACGAATTTGATTATTGGCAAATATTTAGTTAGATGTACTTAGCAGTGCATTGACTTGGTAACTGGAATAGTTAATCACATGCAAGGAAAATGACTATATGATATTGCCGAGAGTCGTTGACTAATATATTTTTAGACATATTCCGCCCTTATTCACATTGGTCCTTGAAAGTATGGAAAGATGTTTGTGTTGTTTATTTTCTAGTATTTTAAATTTGTGTTATTTTTTAGGTTAAAAATGTATCTTTTTATGGATATAATTACATGGTGTAGCATGAACATGATCGATGTGGTTAAATTATGTTGAACATGGGAAGCAATGGCGAATCTTCATGAAGGAGTAACCTAGAAACAGTAAGGGGTAAACACAGTCTGTAAGTTTCTTCCGTTATGATATATCTATGCAAAATCGTTAGCAATCTCTTAAGAGCCACCTCTATCTTTGGCATAGACGTGCCTTTAATTTTCGCGATTATACGAATTTGGTACAGGGAAATTTCACCAACTGTTCTAAACCTTGCATTCATTGAGTACATGGAGTAATTAATCGCATGCAAGGAAAAAGAGCTCTATGGTGTTGACGAGGATCTTGACTAGTCGGTGGACCGAAGATGCCTCGGGTTAAATTGGGATTTCTTTTGAGAATACTTGGCTCTTGTTCTTATTGGACCTTCAAAGCCTAGAAAATATGTTTGTCAAGTTTATTTTCTAGTATTTAAATTTAATGTTGTTTTACAGGCTCAAGATTTAATTACTTGGTGTCTCATGAACTTGGTTTGTCAGCACACATGAAGCAATGGAGAGTCTTTAGGAAGGGCAACCTACAAACAAAATTGTTGGGTCAATGACAACCTGGAAGTTTCTTCCATTACAATATCTGCATGCAAAACCGTTAGCAATCTCCTAAGAATCACCTCTATCTTTGGTATATATGTGCCTTTAATGTTCATGATTATACGAATTTGATGTAGGGAAATATTTTGGCCAATTGTTCTAACCTTGCATTCAATCAGTAGTTGGACTAATTAATCGCATACAAGGAAAAATAGCTCTATGATGTTGATGGGGATTGTTGACTAGTTGGTGGGCCGAAGATGCCTCGCGCCTTGGGTTAACTTGGGGATTCTTTTGAGAATATTTGGCCCTTATTCTTATTGGGCCTTCGAAGCCTGGAAATATGTTTGTGATGTTTATTTTCTAGTATTTAAATTTTATGTTGTTTTATAGGTTTAAGACTTAATTACTTGGTGCCTCATGATTTGGTTTGCGAGCACACATGAAGCAATGGAGAGCCTTCCAGGGCAACCTGCAAATAAAATTGTTGGGTCAATGACAGCGTGGTAGTTTCTTCCGTTATGATATCTCTATGCAAAATCGTTAGCAATTTCTCAAGAACCACCTCTACCTTTGGTATAGATGTGCCTTTAATGTTTATGATTATATGAATTTGATATAGGGAAATATTTGGCCATCTATTCTAAACCTTGCACTCATTCAGTAGATGCAGTAATTAATCACGCGCAAGGAAAAATAGTTTTACGATGTTGAGGATGATCGTTGACAAGTCGTTTGGTCGAAGATGCCACGGGTTAACTTGGGAAATCTTTTCAGAATACTTGGCCCTTATTCTTATTGGGCTTTCAAAGCCTGTAAAAATATGTTGATGATATTTTTTTCTAGTATTTAAATTTTATGTTGTTTTATAGGTTTAAAATATTATCTTGTTATAGACTTAATTACTTGGTGTCGCATGATCTTAGTTTGTGAGCACACATGAAGCAATGGAGAGTCTTTAGGAAGGGCAACCTACAAATAAGATTGTTGGGTCAGTGACTGCTTGACATGTTTCTTCCGTTACGAATTCTCTATGCAAAATCATTAACGATCTCTTATGAACCACCTATATATTTGGTA